AATGTTTTACAACCAAAACAAAATCAAATTGAATAAGTTTGCAATGCCTTGGTATTTATCCACAGCCGTGCCAACAATTAAAACCTTGGATCAAGACCTGGTGACAGACGCTGGAAAGCCATTTGTTATGGCAGTTCCTTACAATGCTTACCCACAGGCTGAGGCTGAGTGGTTCTACAATGACATCAGTCTTCCAAAAGACAATGTTCACACTTCTGTTGACAGGACAGAATATAGGCTAAAGGACCCAAAGAAGTCAGAGGAAGGCCGCTATAAAATCCTCATCCAAAACAAACATGGAAAAGGAGAGGCTTTTATAAACCTGAAAGTTATTGGTTAGTTATATTCATAGTATATCAGTTTGTTTCAGTAAAACATTCTAGGATTATATTGTTGCTTACAAATGTTGCTCCTTTCACAGATGTTCCTGGGCCTGTGAAGAACCTTCAGGTTGTTGACACTGCTGATGGTGAGGTCAGCATTGCATGGGAAGAGCCAGAGAGTGACGGTGGCAGCAAGATCTTGGCTTATGTGGTTGAAAGACGTGATATCAAACGTAAGACCTGGACTCTGGCCACTGACTGTGCCGATAGCACAGAGTACTGTGTAACTGGCTTGCAGAAAGACTCCAAGTACCTCTTCCGTGTCTGTGCACGTAACCGAATCGGAAGTGGGCCCAATGTTGAGACAGATAAAGCTGTTCAAGCTAAGAATAAGTTTGGTAAGTCAAGAAAATCTGAAAGTCAAGTTGTACACACTAACCGGTGATTCTAATTGTGGTTTTTAATTTTACACGCTCCAGATGTTCCTGATCCACCACAGAATGTTATTGTTGGAAATGTCAACAAGTTTGGTGCCACAGTCTCCTGGGAACCACCACTGTTCAATGGTGGATCTGAGATCACATCATACATTATTGAGCTCCGTGATAGAACTTCTGTGAGCTGGTCTCCAGTCATGGTGACCAAACCACACGAACGCTCAGCTATTATTAATGATGTTATTGAGAACAAAGAATACATCTTCCGTGTTAAGGCTGAGAACAAGGCTGGAATTGGCAAACCAAGTGCTGCCACTAACCCAGTGAAGATCATGGACCCTATTGGTTTGTAAAATCCCATATATCATTCATTTTAGCATACATGAATGCATTCATACCTAATAAATGCATCGTAATGTTTTGATCCACAGAGAGGCCGAGCCCTCCACTGAATTTGACACACTCTGAGCAGACAAAGGACTCCTGTCTGTTGACATGGGAGACTCCCTTAAAAAATGGAGGCACAACAATCACCGGCTACATCATTGAGAGATGTGAAGAAGGCACAGACAAGTGGCTCAGATGCAATGCCAGGCTTTGCCAGGACCTGCTCTACAGGGTACTCTTTGCCAAAGACTGTATATTATATGTACATACACCAAGATGGTTCACTCATATTACAATGATTGGGAGTAAGTGCAATGCACAGTATGGTGGAATAAGCCCTGCTTTCTAAATAAAAGAGTAGTCATCGTGACCCTGCAGCTGCTATTAGAATCTCCAGTTCCCATAGAGATGTGCGCTTAGGAATGCACTTGCATTTTCAACCTGAAATATAGGCTATTTAAGCATAGATTTTAATGTGAGTTTGGCAAGCAGTTTTTGAGATTGTTATTTTCCAATTCAAGTAAATAGGAGTTGGTCTTTTATGCCTAGCTGCCCAGAAGCATTTTGAATATGGTTGCCAAGTGAACTGACTTTTCTTTGCTTCCTGTTATAGTGTGTATTAGTATTGTTATGTAATGCTTATGTTGACATGCATTCCACAGATTTCAGGCCTGAAATTTGGAACAAAATACAGCTATAGAGTACTTGCTGAGAATGCGGCTGGCCAGTCTGACCCCTCAAATATTGTTGGGCCTGTGTTGGCAGATGATCCACACTGTAAGTGATTTCCGTACCATTGCACCCTACATAATCTTTGATATATCTGAACCTTTTTTTTTAATTGTTTAACACATGATGTGCTTCTCTTGTCACAGTTGCACCTACTCTGGACCTGAGCGCATTTAAGGATGGTCTAGAGGTTATTGTCCCTAATCCTCTTGCAATTCGTGTTCCTATCACTGGGTACCCGGTGCCCACAGCAAAGTGGACCTTCGGTGAAAATGCACTTACAGCTGATGACCGTGTGTCCATGGTTACAAAGTCAACCTTCACAGAGCTCATTGTAACCCCAAGTGTGCGCCCTGACAAAGGCACATACTCCTTGACGTTGGAAAATGATGTGACTAGTGTCTCAGGAGAGATTGAAGTTAATGTCATTGGTATGCACAGAATTTTCTTATAGACATGTATACATCAATTTACAGTTCAGAAAGTAAAAAGTTAAGTGTTATACTTTATTTTACTCTCCATTCAAGCCTCTCCAAGTGCACCCAAAGACTTAAAGGTTGCAGAAGTGACCAGAAAGCATGTTCACTTGATGTGGGAGGCACCTGATCACGATGGAGGCAGTCCGATCACAGGCTATCAGGTTGAGAAGCGTGAGGTTTCCAGGAAGACCTGGGTGAAGGTATAAACATTACTAATATCTTTGACCATTATTTTCTTTGAATGGTACTGTGAACCTACAGTGATCACTTTCCTTGTGTTTATGTGATTTTAGGTGATGGCAGGTTTGCAAGACCAGGAATACACAGTCACAGATGTTGTTGAGGGCAAGGAGTACTTGTTCAGAGTTATTGCCTGCAACAAATGTGGCCCTGGAGAGCCCGCCTACATTGATGACCCAGTGAACGTGTCTTCACCTGCAAGTGCGTGTTAATACTAATGATAGATTAGTCAGTGTTAAATATTTGCAATATCAAATAATTAATAATTTCTCTTGTGTGTGCATCTGTGTTATTTACAGCTATACCAGACCCACCAGAAAATCTTAAATGGAGAGACAAGTCTGCTAGCAAGATCTTCTTGTCATGGGAGCCTCCCAAGTGGGATGGTGGAACTGCAATTAAAGGTTATATTGTTGACAAATGTCAACGTGGTACTGACAAGTGGGAACCATGTGGAGACCCAGTTCCTGATCTTAAGTAAGTGATCATTTTCAAATTAATTACTCTTCAAACTGAATTAAGTTGCTTACATGCATAAGTTAAACTAAATTAATTTTACAAACAGGTGTGAAGTGACTGGTCTCATTGAAGGACAGTGGTATGCTTATCGTGTGAGGGCTTTGAACAAACTGGGTGCCGGTAAGCCTTGCAAGGCGACAGATGAGATTTTGGCCGTTGATCCTAAAGGTACTTTATTAGATTATGATTTGACATTCAGAGACATTAGGAGTTGGAAGTTTAATGTTTATTTGATTTACTTACCACTTTCACAGAGCCTCCAGAGATTCAGCTGGATGCAAAACTGCTGGCTGGCCTCACTGCTAAGGCTGGCACAAAGATTGAACTTCCTGCTGACATCACAGGCAAACCAGAGCCTAAAGTCAAATGGACCAAGGCTGACCTAGTCCTGAAGCCAGACGATAGAATCTCAATTGATACCAAGCCTGGCCACTCAACTGTGTCCATTGCTAAGACCAAGAGGGATGACACTGCTACATACATCATTGAGGCAGTCAACAGCAGTGGCCGTGCAACTGCAACAGTTGATGTCAACATTCTAGGTTGTGAGAAAGACTTTTATTTTTTTTTAAGTTGATACACCCTGCAAAAACATAGGGGTCTTATTTTGCAGTAAACATATCTAAACAAACCTAAACAAGAAAACCAATAGTGTTTAAAATAGTAATGCTTGTTTTCAGAGAATATATTTTGTATTACAAGATATTACAATATACTGTATCTTGAATTGCTTATTTCTTGCATTTTGTTTAAATCTCTATATTTGTTTTTATATCAGTTTTATATATAAATATATATTAAATACTATATATATTTATCCACTTGTTTAATGAAAATAAGAAAAAAAATTACATTTAGGATTGACATTTAGGCATTTAGACTTTTTTCTTATGCAGTTAGTATTCAGATTATACTAATTTTCAATCTTTACTAACTCCATATAGATAAACCTGGTCCTCCAGCTGCCTTTGATATCTCTGAAATCACCAATGAGTCCTGCTTGTTAGCCTGGAATCCTCCAAGAGATGATGGTGGCTCAAAGGTGACAAACTATATTATTGAGAGGAGGGCTTTAGACAGTGAAATCTGGTACAAGTTGTCCTCCACTGTGAAGCAGACCACCTACAGGGCCACCAAACTTGTGGCTTTCAAGGAATATGTCTTTAGGGTCTATGCTGAAAATCAGTTTGGAGTTGGTGCCCCAGCAGAACATGCCCCAATAACTGCCAGATACCCCTTTGGTATGTTATTTAATACTGTTTCAACAATTCAAACACATTTCTGGTTAACATTTCACCTGCATTAGAAATCATTATATATATGTTAACACTATCCTAGATACTCCTGGTCCTCCATACAAATTGGAGGCATCTGATATTGCAAAGGATGCAGTAACTCTGTCTTGGTATGAGCCTGATGAGGATGGTGGAAGTCCTATTACTGGATATTGGGTTGAGAGATATGAGCCTGATCATGACAAATGGATCAGATGCAACAAGCTGCCTGTCAGGGACACAAACTTTAGGTATGTAAGGATGGAAATTAGCTCTAGAATGCCATTGTTGTTTCGTAATTTTTTTTTTTTTAAACATGTCTAAAATACAAATTTGCTTACAGGGTAAAAGGACTGCCCACAAGAAAGAAGTATAAGTTCCGTGTTTTGGCAGAGAATCTTGCTGGACCTGGCAAACCAAGCAAAGAGACAGACCAGATTTTGATTAAAGATCCAATAGGTAGGATTAATGTTTTATAAATATCCTGATTTGCCCATTTCACCTACAAAATGGCTAAATTTATATTTTATTTGGAGAGAGCATGCTGTATGAAACGTATGTGATTTAAAATTTTTTTTTTTTTTTCAGATCCCCCATGGGCTCCTGGTAAGCCCACTGTTAAGGATGTGGCCAAAACAACTGCCTTCCTACAATGGACAAAACCTGAACATGACGGTGGTGCAAAGATTGAGTCTTACATCATTGAACTCCTCAAGAGTGGAACTGACGAGTGGGTTCGTGTAGCTGATGGTATCCCCTTTCTTGAGTACTTCCTGAGAGGATTGATGGAGAAGCAAGAGTACTCATTCCGTGTCAGAGCTGTCAATGCAGCAGGCGAGAGTGAACCTAGTGAACCAAGTGATCCAGTGCTCTGCAAGGAGAGACTCAGTAAGTCACACTATTTAAAAAATAGAACTCTGTCATCATTTATTCATCCTCATGTTGTTCCAAACCTATATGACTTTCAGTATGACACAACAGAAGAAATTCTGAATAATGTAGTTGGTCGCTTTTTTCCATGCAGTTACAATAAATGGGGAGCTTTCAAGGTTAAAAATGACATGAAAGTATGTATCCTGATTAGTCCATGCAATGCGTTCACTAGTCTTCTGAATTCAGACATGCAGTAGTTTTGTGTGAACAGGCTAAAATTTAAGTTGGATTTTCAGTAAATAACGTAAATTTCTGTCTGTTCTTTGTTATTGTTATTGTGAAACTTGACAGCCGAAATTTATACAGGTTTGGAAAAAAATTGAAGGTGAGAAAATGGTGACAGAATTTTAATTTTAGAGTTAACCATTGCTGTAACATTTAAATGTTCAAGTGCATACAGTAATTCTGTACACAGCATTTCCTAATGATGGTCCTCCTCCTTTAGATCCTCCATCACCCCCAAGATGGCTTGAAGTAGTTTCTAGTAGCAGGAACAGCGCTGATTTGAAATGGACAGCACCTGAGAGAGATGGTGGCTCTCCAATCACAAACTACATTATTGAGAAGAGAGATGTCAGACGCAAGGGCTGGCAGGCTGTGGACACCACTGTGAAAGAGCTGAAGTACACTGCCACCCCACTGAATGAGGGGTCTCTCTATGTTTTCCGTGTTGCTGCAGAGAATGCTGTGGGACCCAGTGAATTTTGTGAACTTGTAGACTCTGTTCTCGCCAAAGATACTTTCAGTGCGTTCTTATTCCTTCTTATTGCTTGTTTGTTCCTTTTGGTTGTTTTATATTTAGTGTTAAATTTGTCTCTCACCTGCTTTTCTTCTTCACAGGTACCCCTGGACCTCCATATAATCTGACCATTACTGATGTCTCCAAGACTCATGTTGACCTGAAATGGGAAGCACCTAAGAATGATGGTGGAAGACCTGTCTTGAGGTACTTGCATATGGCCTTTGTAGCAGTTGGTGAAATGTGGACCCAGGCTTTACTTTAGTATTAATAATATATTATACTATTATAGTATTTATTCATTTTTATTTAGCTTTTGTTTTTATATTTCTTGTATACTGTATAGCTTAATTTTGAGTTTTAGTAATTTTATTATTTTGTAAGTTTAGTCATTTTTATGTGCTGTTAATTTGTTTATTTTAGTTTTAGTTGTAGTAATTTTAGTATTACAAACTTATTTAATTACATTTAGTTGCCAAGACAACATTTCTAATTTTCATTTAAGTTTTGTAACTTTTCATCTAATTTTTATATTTGTATTTTATGTCAGCATTAAGTTCATCCAGTATGGAGATAGAATTGTTGCTTAATTCCAAATAAATAGATTACGATCCACAAATAAATGTAAAGAGATTAACAAAAATTAAACATACTGACAAATAAATAGAATGAGATCCACAAATAAAACTTAAAGTTTCACAAATTCACAATTAAATAAAATGAGATTTGCAAATAAAAAAAACATATTCACAATTATTATATGTCACAATCACAACTTTGCCTGGCATTCATTTGTGAATCGCGTCCTGTGCATTTGTAGATCGCTGCACGCATTTGTGAATCGTGTCCTGTGCATTTGTGAATTGTGAAACAATTTCTTGCGTCAAGACGTGCTGACAATCCACAAATATGTGGACTCCACTCACCGTCTACTGAAGCCAATCAGATAACAGCTACATTTCGCTGACCAATCGTAGCACGCTCTCGCTATAGCCAATCACGTTTTGCTTTATAATCAGGGCGGTCTCCTCCTGAAATAACTTCATTCATCTGCATTGGCTCAAATAGGTAATATAAGGGCCATAAAAATGGGTACAGTAAAAGATGTTTAAAATTGGATTTCATTAGCCCAATGTATTCATTGGACTTTGTATCATGCCAAGCCACAGAATTATATTTTACATGCCTTTGAAAATGCCAGAGAAACAGAGCTTTAAACAACGCTATACTGATACAAACGCATTATGGAAGTGTCATGTTACTCAAGATGGAAAGAAAAGCGTCAATAAGTAACTGACTAATAAATAACTGGACTCAACATCATAATAAGTTTGTGTAATAGGTTAAATTGCTGTCACACAACAGTGTTTCCCAGTTTTTCAGTCAAGCCGATGTATATGAGCAGCTGTGAATCTAACGATGTATGAAGTTTTTGATATACTTCATATTCTATGTGGTGGTCAGTTCACAGCAGTGATAGAAATTAATCTACCAATAAGTCTAAATAGTTTTTTTTTTTACCTTTTATGAGCATTTTTACATTTATAAAACCATTTTTTCTTAAAGTGTGCATGATCTTTTTTATATCCTGTAGTTATAAATGCATAGATAATGTTTTGATATTTTAAACACAAAACATTGAATACTGACATTTGAAATTATTAAAAAAATGAAAAGATACTTTAAATGTAAAATTTAAACCACCAGTAGGTGGCAGCAAGTCACTGCGATTGAACCAAATTTAAATGGTTGCTACATTCAGGAACGAAACACCGTCATGTTGCTCAGAGACGCAGAACAGTGCTGTGGCTTTGGGTGGAATTAATTTTGTTGTTGAAATAGAGCAAAAACAGGCAATATGGCATCTAAAACTTAAGTCTCTTAATTAACTTTTTGTTGAACTGTTGCATAAAATTAATATCACATTTGAAATCGTTGATTTTTGGAGAAAAGAAATGGCATTGATATATAAATGATATTTATATAAACTATATTAAATTATATAAATTTATACATTTTCTTCTCCCATATCTTGAATTTTGATCATCATTCGACATGTATTTTAATAAACTGAATCATACAGTGAAAGAACGCACTGTAAATGCGCACACGCACTAGTCTAACCTACTAAACTTCATCACGCGCTGTTTCTCTGGAATTTTCAAAGGCATGTAAAATATAATTCTGTGGCTTGGCATGATACACAGTCTAATGGTCTAACGAAATACAATTTGAAACATCTTTTACTGTACCCATTTTTATGGCCCTTATATTACCTATTTGAGCCAATGCAGATGAATTAAGTTATTTCAGGAGGAGACCGCCCTAATTGTAAAGCAAAACGTGATTGGCTATAGCGAGAGCGTGCTACGATTGGTCAGCGAAATGTAGCTGTTATCTGATTGGCTTGAGTAGACGGTGGGTGGAGTCCACGGAAAAAATGGGTACAGTAAAAGATGTTTAAAATTGGATTTCATTAGACCAATGTATTCATTAGACTGTGTATCATGCCAAGCCACAGAATTATATTTTACATGCCTTTGAAAATGCCAGAGAAACAGAGCTTTAAACAACGCTATACTGATACAAACGCATTATGGAAGTGTCATGTTACTCAAGATGGAAAGAAAAGCGTCAATAAGTAACTGACTAATAAATAACTGGACTCAACATCATAATAAGTTTGTGTAATAGGTTAAATTGCTGTCACACAACAGTGTTTCCCAGTTTTTCAGTCAAGCCGATGTATATGAGCAGCTGTGAATCTAACGATGTATGAAGTTTTTGATATACTTCATATTCTATGTGGTGGTCAGTTCACAGCAGTGATAGAAATTAATCTACCAATAAGTCTAAATAGTTTTTTTTTTTACCTTTTATGAGCATTTTTACATTTATAAAACCATTTTTTCTTAAAGTGTGCATGATCTTTTTTATATCCTGTAGTTATAAATGCATAGATAATGTTTTGATATTTTAAACACAAAACATTGAATACTGACATTTGAAATTATTAAAAAAATGAAAAGATACTTTAAATGTAAAATTTAAACCACCAGTAGGTGGCAGCAAGTCACTGCGATTGAACCAAATTTAAATGGTTGCTACATTCAGGAACGAAACACCGTCATGTTGCTCAGAGACGCAGAACAGTGCTGTGGCTTTGGGTGGAATTAATTTTGTTGTTGAAATAGAGCAAAAACAGGCAATATGGCATCTAAAACTTAAGTCTCTTAATTAACTTTTTGTTGAACTGTTGCATAAAATTAATATCACATTTGAAATCGTTGATTTTTGGAGAAAAGAAATGGCATTGATATATAAATGATATTTATATAAACTATATTAAATTATATAAATTTATACATTTTCTTCTCCCATATCTTGAATTTTGATCATCATTCGACATGTATTTTAATAAACTGAATCATACAGTGAAAGAACGCACTGTAAATGCGCACACGCACTAGTCTAACCTACTAAACTTCATCACGCGCTGTTTCTCTGGAATTTTCAAAGGCATGTAAAATATAATTCTGTGGCTTGGCATGATACACAGTCTAATGGTCTAACGAAATACAATTTGAAACATCTTTTACTGTACCCATTTTTATGGCCCTTATATTACCTATTTGAGCCAATGCAGATGAATTAAGTTATTTCAGGAGGAGACCGCCCTAATTGTAAAGCAAAACGTGATTGGCTATAGCGAGAGCATGCTATGATTGGTCAGCAAAATGTAGCTCAATTCACAAATGCACAGCACACAATTCACAAATGCGTGCAGCGATCTACAAATGCACAGGACACGATTCACAAATGAATGCCAGGCAAAGTTATGGTTGTGACATAAATATATATTCGTGAATGTTTTTTTTATTTGCAAATCTCATTTTATTTATTTGTGAATTGAATTCATGTTTGTGAAACTTTAAGTTTTATTTGTGGATCTCATTCTATTTATTTGTCAATATGTTTAATTTTTCTTAATCACTTTACATTTATTTGTGGATCGTAATATATTTATTTAGAATTAAGCAACAATTCTATCTCCATAATCCAGTGTATCATTAATTGGATAATATCTCTTTCCTAGATATGTCATTGAGAAGAAGGAGAAGCTTGGTACCCGCTGGGTGAAATCAGGAAAGACTTCAGGTCCTGACTGCCATTACAGAGTGACTGATGTAATTGAGGGCACTGAAGTGCAGTTCCAAGTCGCTGCTGAGAACCAGGCTGGAATTGGTCACCCAAGCGAACCCACGGATATTGTGATCATTGAGGACCCAACAGGTATGTTAACAAAAATCAATCTATCTATCTATCTATCTATCTATCTATGTATCTATCTATCTATCTGTCTTGTCTGTCTGTCTGTTGATTGATTGTTTGATTGATTGATTGATTGATTTATTTGGTTTCATTTACTATTTTAAACTTTCATGTTTTGTTTGAGGTCTAGGAGACCCAATTTCATTTTTGATTAAACATAATGTAACATTGTAGATTTTATTAGGATTTTGCTTTATGACCTTTTTTTAATCTTATGAAAACAGCATTGAAAGCATTTTAACAACTTAAAAACATGCTTCAAATATACTCAAATATGAAATGGAATATTACTGCACAAGTGCATATCTACTTTGTGATTCAACAGAAAGATACATCTTCAATAATTTTGCCCAGTTGGTTTTGATTAGGTCCAAGGAACCTATTAAGATAAATTGAAAATAACAAACAAAATTTCTGACTATTATAATTACGTTTCTAGGACCTCCAACATTAAGGGGAAAAAATAGAACATAAGTGTTAAATATCTGATTTAGGGATTTAAGATGTAATTCATAATGAAACATAAATGGAACCATTCCTTATCTTGACAGGCCCACCATCACCACCTCAGGAACTGCACGTCACTGAGGCAGCCAGAGATCATATTTGTATTGCTTGGAAGGCACCAGAAAAGAATGGAGGAAGTCCCATTATTGGCTACCATATTGAGCTCTGTGAGACTGGAACTGAGAAGTGGATGAGAGTCAACTCTCGTCCTGTCAAAGAGCTAAAATACAGGGCAGGGGATGAAGAAGGCATTGTTCCTGAGAAGCAGTATACCTTCAGAGTCCGTGCTGTCAATTCTGTTGGTGACAGTGAGCCCTCTGACATTTCTGAGAATGTATATGCCAAAGATTCTGACTGTAAGCTATTTTGTTGTTGTTGTTGTTTTTGTAAAATTATAAATACATTTGTTGCCATTATAATTTAAGGTTGATTGCCCTGTGACTCGTATCATTGCAGGCAGCCCAACCCTTGACTTCCAGACCAAGGATCTTGTTGTTGTAGAGGGTGAAAAGATGCACCTCCCAATTCCATTTAGGGCTGTGCCATCACCTAAAATTACATGGCACAAAGATGGAAATGAACTGAAGACTGATGACAGAACTTTCTTCAGAGTTGAATACACATCATGCCATCTGGAAATTCCAAGCTGCTTACACGCTGATGCTGGCCAGTACAAAGTTACCTTGGAGAACAGCAATGGTTCAGCTAGTGGAACAATCAATGTTAAAGTTATCGGTATGTTTTTGAGTTCTGTTATCGACTGCTTGGAATATATCAGCTTTTAACAACTGATGCAAACATAATAATGAAAATGCACCTTTACATTTGAAACTAATGCCTTTACTTTGGTTTTACTGTGTTTGTTACAAATGATAGGTCTTCCTGGGCCATGTAAAGAAATTGTTGCTAGTGAGATTACCAAGAGCACCTGCAAGGTGTCCTGGGATCCTCCAGACTATGATGGTGGTAGCCCTATTCTCCACTATGTGCTACAACGCAGAGAAGCAGGCAGGAGAACCTATGTCAATGTTATGTCTGGAGAAAACAAAGTTAGCTGGCCGGTTAAGGATCTCATTCAAAATGGAGAGTATTACTTCCGTGTCAGAGCTGTCAACAAGATTGGTGGTGGTGAATACATTGAACTTCGCAACCCTGTAATTGCTGAAGATCAGAAGCGTAAGTAATAACATTCATTGAAAGCATTAGGATGTAACTTTAATTTTGCATAATATTTTAACAACATTTTGTCCTTCAAATACAGAACGTCCTGACCCACCAGTCGATGTGGAAACACACAACCCAACTTCTGAGAGTGTGACCCTTACTTGGAAGCCTCCCATGTATGATGGTGGAAGCAAAATTATGGGTTACATTCTTGAGAAGATGATAAAAGGGGAAGAGAACTTTCAGAGATGCAATGACTTCCTTGTGCCAGTGCTGTCCTATACTGTTAAGGGGTTGACGCAAGGAAAACAATATCAGTTCCGTGTACGTGCTGAAAATGCAGCTGGTATCAGTGATCCTTCACGCAGCACACCTTTGATCAAAGCCACAGATGCAGTTGGTATGAACTCATTCTTTGTTATTTGTCAAATCATACATTTTCATCAGATGTGAAGTCCCTCTGAAGCAAGCTATTGGTACTATATATGTAAGCGTTTTTTTGTTATTCTGCTTTCAGATCGTCCAAAGGTATTCCTTAGCGGTAGTCTACAATCAGGCTTGACTGTGAAACGAGGTGAGGAGATCCGACTGGATGCCAATATCTCTGGATTCCCTTACCCCCAAATTACATGGATGAGGGACAATTCAACCATTTGGCCAGAGCCACTGAAGAAGAGACCAGAAAGGCCCATTAAGAAGAAGAAGGAGAAAGAAAAAGAAAAGGAGGAAAAGATGGAGGCTGATGCAGAAAAGAAAGAGGCAGATACAGAAAAGGAGGAAGCCAAAGAGGCAAAGAAGGTGGAGGACAAGGAAAAGGAGAAAGAAAAAGAAAAGGAGGTGGAGGAACCTGAGGAGTCTGAAGAAGCATACTACCCAAGCTTAAATGAACGTCTTACCATTGAATCCATGAGGAAGGGTGAATCCTTCATTATTGTAAAAGATACTATCAGAGGTGATCATGGTGTTTTCACCATAAAAGTGGAAAATGATCAAGGTGTTGCCTCTGCCTCCTGTGAAGTTAATGTCCTTGGTGAGTATAAAACTCTTCAATGTGACATCAACACTTTACAAGAAACATGTAACCCTTTCCCACCTTGAATAAAAAAAAAAAAAGAATGGAATTTGAATGTTTACACTTTCTTTTCCAGATACTCCTGGTCCTCCAGTCAATTTCAAATTTGAAGATGTAAGGAAGAACTCAATCCTCTGTAAGTGGGATCCTCCTCTGGATGATGGTGGTAGTGAAATCCTTAACTACATATTGGAACAAAAAGATAACTCCAAGGTGGAGCTTGGATGGGTCACTGTAACCTCAATCCTTAGAGGCTGTAAATTTCAAGTACCAAAACTTATTGAGGGCAAGGAGTACCTCTTCCGTGTCACTGCAGAGAATAAGTATGGTCCTGGAACCCCATTCATCTCCAAACCCGTCATTGCAAAGAATCCATTCGGTAATCCGATTTTTAGACGTTTGCTTGAGAATCATCATTTGCATTATTGTGTTTAACAGTTAATTAAACAGTTCGATATGCCTTGTCAATTCAGATCCTCCAGATGTGCCGGAGAAACCTGAAATTAAGGATTCCACGGCCAGCAGTATGCTTGTTACCTGGACAGAACCCAAAGACAATGGCAGCCCCATTGAGGGATACTGGGTAGAGAAACGAGAAATTAACAGCACACACTGGGCAAGAGTCAATCGCACCATGGTTCCTGATTTGGAAATAAATGTAGAGGGCCTTTTGGAGGGTCTGACATATATTTTCAGAGTCTGTGCGGAAAATGTAGCAGGACCTGGAAAGTTCAGCCCCCCGTCAGAACCAAAAACAGCACAGGCACCAATCAGTAAGTTTGTAGTATTAGAATTGACTATAAACCATGAACATATAAGAAATAAATGTAACATCAAATTAATATTGATTTAAAATATAATAATTACTGTATAAAAATTATTTATTTCAGGGCCCCCAGGTCCACCAATTCCAAGAATTGTAGATACCTCAGACTATTCAATTGATGTTGAATGGGATCCTCCTGCAGACAATGGTGGCGCAGACATCTTTGGTTATCATGTTGACAAAGTTGTTGCTGGTACCAAAGACTGGTCACGAGCCACAGAGAGACCATGGAAGAACCACACATTTACAGTGTATGGTGTTAGAGAAGGAGCTAAATATATTGTCCGTGTAGTGGCAGTCAATTGTGCTGGTGAAGGACAACCAGGTTTTACTGATGCAGTAATTGTGAGAAACCCTGCAGGTATTAACATAAAACTGACACTAAATATCATGATATTCTTTATTTGTTAATCAATTGAAGTGTTATTCTAAAATAAACAGCTAAATATATGGCTCTGTTTCTTTGTCAAAACAGAGGTTCCAGTCATCGAGCTTGATATCTCAGTGAAAAATGGTGTTGTTGTTAGAGCTGGAGAGATGCTGAGAATACCAGCACATGTGACTGGTAGACCTTTTCCATCTTTGAAATGGACAAAGGATGATGGTCCATTAGAAGAAGATCGTATGGAGGTAGAGGAAGCTGGAAAGGACAGCACTATTGTTATCAGAACCACAAAGAGAAGTGATCACGGCAAATACCAAATCCAAGCAGCAAATCCAAGTGGTATCAAGTCTGCATGGACCAGGGTTGAAGTTATGGGTAAGAATTTTTCAATTGTAATTTGGATTTGAAATGTATACACTCATTCTCATTACAGCATGCATGACATACAATTTCCCACATTTAAAATCTCTTCTCAGATGCTCCTGGACCAGTTCTTGACCTGAAACCTGTTGTGGTTACCAGAAAGCTAATGATGTTGAATTGGTCAGATCCTGATGATGATGGTGGTAGTGATCTGACAGGGTTTATTATTGAAAGGAGGGAACCAAAGATGCACACATGGAGACAACCTATTGAGACCGCTTCATCCAAATGTGAGATTGTAGGTATTATTGAGGGACAGGAATACATTTTCCGTGTTGTGGCTAAGAATAAGTATGGATGTGGACCTCCAGTCGATCTTGGACCTATCCGTGCTGTGGATCCTCAAGGTAAATTTTGTATGCACAATGCTTTACTCCCACAATAGCACTCAATATTATGACTGTTCCTATGTATTTATTGTCATATTTTTATTAAATGTTAGGTCCACCAACTTCTCCTGAAAAGTTCCACTATACCGAGCGGACAAAATCCTCTGTTACTATTGAATGGAGGCCACCTCGTAATGATGGTGGTAGTCCAATCCTTGGCTACATCATTGAGAAAAAGCGACAAGATCAACCAGCCTTCCAGCGTGCCAACCCAGAGTTGATGACTGCTCAAATTTTGACAGTTGAAGACCTTGATGAGTTGCATATGTATGAGTTCCGTGCAAAGGCTGTCAATGCATTTGGTGAAAGTGAGCCTTCAATTACCATGACTGTTGTCATTCAAGATGATGAAGGTTTGTCCTATTCTAGTTTAACATCATTGTTCTTCACAGAGTTTTATGATGTCTCAGCACACACATTTTAGATGACACATATTCCATCTTTCTTTTGATGATTATAGTGGCTCCAAGTCTGCATATGTTAAAGCACTTCAAGGGTGATTTGATTCAAGTAAGGAAAAACCAACCTATTGAGATGCCCGCTGAAGTCACAGGCCTGCCAATGCCAAAGATCGAATGGCTGAAGGATGATGTTGTTATTGCCAAGCCAACTGAGAAACTCCTGATAGAAACCAAAGAGATTGATAGGCTGACATCACATACAAAACTCTCCATCCCTGGCGTTACTAGATTGGACAAGGGCACATACACAGTTACTGCCTCAAATCGTTTGGGATCTCTTGGTCATTCCATCATGGTGGAAGTGTTGGGTAAGTTATCCTGTAGTGTACAAATATTGGACATGTTTGAACACTTCAGTTAAACCTGTTCATATGGCAAAATATCAAGCCAAGTGGGATCTGCAACCAAATTGTGCTAGAGCATATGCAACTCATGTTGAAGTAATTTAAGTGGACGTATGGAGTCAGTTCTCCTCAAGTTCACCTAGTAGCCACAGGTGTAGTTCATCACACTAACTATGGAAATTCTCCACTAATGTTTGACACCACAAAGTGCATATAATACTTTTGTCTTATTTTGAACTTTGTCTCTTATGTTCAACAAAACAAACCAAAAAAAATGTGTGAAATGTTTTACATTGTACAGTGTTTCTATAAAACATATTCCTCTTGATTTTATATTTTTTGTTATGTGATTCATTGACATGCAGTAAGTCACATCTTAAGTGTCCAAAGTATTTGTATATTTTGAATATACCTAATGATTTTTGATAATCTCTTTTTTTGTAGATCGCCCAACACCACCAAGAAACATTGCTGTTTCAGATATCAAAGCTGAGTCTTGCAAACTATCCTGGAATGCCCCATTGGATCTTGGTGGCAGTGAACTTACCAACTACATTGTTGAGATGAAAGACCTTAATGGTGAAGATCCTGAAAAGGCCGAATGGGTGCAGGTTACTAACTCCATTATCGAGAAGCATTATGCGGTAAGCTAAACAATTATTTTAAAGCAGTTGTATAGGTAGTCATTCAAAATGTATCAAAAAAGATACATTTGTTTATACAATACAAATAGAAAAAATATGATATCATGTTGTTAAAGGACACTATAAAGATTTAATGTTTTTTTGCAGGTATGGAACCTGGAAACTGGTGGCAACTATAAATTCAGAGTCAAAGCTGAGAATAAATATGGAATAAGTGAGGCCTGTGAAACAGAGGAGGTTCAGATTAAGGATCCTTTTGCTCTGCCTGGCCCACCTGAGAAGGTCACTATTGCTGAGCGCTCTAAGGCCCATATGTTACTGACATGGGAACCACCTAGGGACAGTGGTGGTTCTATGATTACTGGCTACTGGCTTGAGAAGCGTGAAAAGGGCACTTCCTATTGGTCTCGCGTGAATAAAATCCTGGTGTCAAAATGTGGCATGAAAGGCTGGGAATACCAGGTTACCCGTCTCATCGAAGGAACGGAGTATGAATTCCGTGCAATGGCTTGTAATTCTGCTGGTATTGGACCACCTAGTGCCATCTCTGAGTCTGCCGTTGCTGACGATCCCTTGAGTAAGAACATAAATGAAGTGCATTTCTATTTTGAACAGATTTTTATGCATGTTGTTTTTAACATATTTCATGTTTTTGTGTGTGTGTACAGCTCCACCTAGCATGCCAGCAGCTCCTGAGATTTCTGACAAAACCAAGCATAATGTCACCCTTGCGTGGACCCCACCAGCTAAAGACGGTGGCCGCCCCATCAAAGGTTACATCATTGAGATCCAGGATGAAGGCACTTCTGAGTGGTCCAGGATCAATGATGCTGAAAATCTGCATCCTTCTACTGTGTTCACCGTTCCAAACCTTCCAGAACTTAAGAAATACAGATTCAGAATCATTGCAGTCAATGAAATTGGCGAGTCTGAGCCAAGCCCCAGAACCACTGAAGTTCGCATAGAGGACATTCAAAGTAAAGTCTCTCTCTCTCTCTTTTTTTTTTTTTATGAAATACAAATTAGCATCCTCCAGAGTCACATGCATTCTCTTAATTCCACAGCTGCACCAAAGATCTTCGTGGATATCAGTGCTAATGAACTGCTCTTTATCCGTGCTGGAACTCCATTTAAGATTCCAGCTACCATCACAGGACGTCCTGTTCCTAAAGTTTCATGGGAGTTTGATGGCAAAGCAAAGACAGAAAAGAAGGATCGTCTCCATGTCTTACCAGTGGATTCACAGGTAACATCTTTTTCTAATTTTAAACATGAATAATTATTATTTTCTTCTGAATCTTTGTAAGACTGGTATTCATTAATTATCTTTGGGATTAGGTTGAATCTACGGACACTACCTCAGTTGTTACAATTCCTGTGAGTTTGAGAAGCCATTCTGGCAGGTACACAATTACAGCAAAGAACAAATCAGGACAGAAGCATGTCAATGTCAGAGTAAATGTGCTTGGTGAGTTTCCTACATATTCATATTCATATTCATATATGTGTGTATATATATATATATATACATATTGAAATTAAACTATTCACTGTTGTGCCAAATTAATGTTGTGCTATGAAGTAAACTGATAATGTTTTTTCCAGATGTTCCTGGAGCACCCAAAGAGCTCAAAGTTACTGATGTCACCAGAACCACAATGAGACTTATTTGGAAACTGCCAGATAATGATGGTGGTGAGAGAATCAAGAGTTATTTTATTGAAAAGAAGGCTGTGAATGGAAAGGCTTGGACAGTTGCCAACGCTGCTTGTGCCAGCATGGCCTTTGTTGTGTCCAACCTCCTCGAGGGACAGGACTACTTGTTCCGTGTTCGTGCTGAGAATCGCCTTGGCTTTGGACCGTTTACTGAGACCACAGAGCCTGTTAGGGCAAGGGATCCTATCTGTAAGTTGGTTGCTTTAATATTTTGAAAAGCATCACACATGCGTCTTATTTTTTTTTAATTAACAGTATTTTTCTATTTTCTTTGAATGTAAAGATCCTCCTGATCCTCCTACCAAGGTGAAAATTAACCTTGTTACCAAGAACACTGTGACCCTGACATGGGTGCCTCCCAAGAATGATGGTGGAGCACCAGTAAAACATTATATCATTGAGAGGCTGAGCTGGGATACCAGTGGTCCACAGAAAGAGACGTGGAAACAGTGTAACAAGAGAGATGTTGAAGAGACTACCTTCATTGTTGAAGACCTTAAGGAAGGTGGCGAGTATGAGTTCCGTGTTAAAGCTGTGAATGAAGCTGGCGCAAGCAGACCCTCTGTTACTGCCGGACCAGTTGTCATTAAGGACCAGACATGTGAGTACAAGATCTTGTAATTTTTTGTATTAAGTTTCTTGAAATATGGCAGTTAGTTATTTCCTAATGTTTCTTTTAAATCTTTTTTAGGTGGTCCAAGTATTGAACTCAGAGAGGCTTTAGAAGGTGCAGAAGGATATGATGTCAGCATTGTTGCCAGGATTCAAGGCTGCCCATTCCCATCTCTTGTCTGGCACAAGGCTCCACAGGAAAAGCCTGATGACAAAGCACTTGTACAGTATGACAAACATGTCAATAAACTTGTTTCTGATGAGAAATGCACCCTGTTAATTCAGCAGTCAAAGAGAGATGACAGCGCCGTATACACTCTCACAGCCACCAACAGTTTGGGAACAGCCACCAAAAGCATCAAGCTTAGCATTTTGGGTAAGTCCTTGAATTTCATGACTTAATTTTTATGAAATTTTGAATGATTCATCCATTTGAAAGGTAAAAAATAAATAATATCCTGTTCTTGTGTCCTTAGGACGTCCTGGTGTACCTGTAGGACCAATTAAGATTGGGGAGATTTTCGCTGAAAGGATTGGCCTCTCCTGGAATCCACCATTAGATGATGGCGGTTCCAAGGTTACAAACTATGTCATTGAAAAGCGTGAGGAAAACAGAAAAACATGGGTCCATGTCTCTAGTGATCCAAAAGAATGCCAATACACTGTACAAAGGCTAACAGAGGGCCATGAGTATGAGTTCCGTGTTATGGCTCAGAATAAATATGGAGTAGGACCACCTCTGTACAGTGAACCTGAGAAAGCACGTAACCTTTTCAGTAAGTTTCATTCACAGAGAAGCTCTAAATCCAGGGGTTTTCAAACTTTTTGAGGCCCATGACCTCTAAACATGATGATCCCCTTGTGAGGGACCAACTTACTACCATGTGTATATATTTTTATTATATTGTGAGGAAAAATGTTAATAATAACATTATAAAGATAAAGTAAATTATTGGCTTTTATATTGTTATTATATTAAAGATTATCTGGAATATATTTACTATGTATTACGTTGACGGTGTATGTTGTTATCTAGTGACAGTCTACTCATTGTTAAAATAATATTATGTATAAACCTTTACAAAAAAAACAAACAAACAACAAAAACAGATTTGGCTTTTATGTATTATTGTTAAAAACTAGAATTATGAATAATCTCATGATTTCTGGTTTCTGATTTCCAGTCTTTAGAAAGCAGAATAAAACAATAATAATGTCAAATTGTTAATGTTAATGTGCTAAAATTGTGTTAATTCAAATGGGGGTCTCTGCAAAAAGTAATGTATTGTTGCAATTCAATCTAATACTTATTTTGCTCCACTCTTCCCCTAACAGCTGTGCCTGGCCAATGTGAGAAGCCAACTGTCACAGATGTTTCACTTGAATCTATGACCGTTAACTGGGATGAACCAGAATATGATGGTGGCTCTCCTGTAACTGGCTACTGGCTAGAGCGTAAGGAAACTACAGGCAAGCGCTGGACAAGAGTGAATCGTGAACCTATCAGAATCAGGACTCTAGGAGTTTCCCATATTGTGACAGGCCTCTTGGAGGGTGCTATCTACCAGTTCCGCGTTCTTGCAATTAATGCAGCTGGAAGCGGCCCACCTAGTTTACCTTCTGATCCTGTTGCATGTAGAGATCCAATAGGTATGTTATGCTTTTCTTGTTGTTGTTGTTATTTTTTTTTTATTAATTTGTCTAATTAATGTTTGTATTATTTTAACAGCACCTCCAGGACCTCCAACACCAAAAGTAACGGATTGTACCAAGTCAACTGTTGATCTTGAATGGATTCCTCCACTTAATGATGGTGGATCTAAGATCACAGGATATTTTGTTGAGTACAAAGAAGAAGGACAAGAGGAATGGGAGAAGGTATGTATAAATCTATCTATCTATCAGTTATGTAGATATTAAGGCTGCCCTCGACTAAAGATTTTTCTGGTCGACTAGTAGTCGTTAATTTTAAGCATTAGTCGACTAATCGCACGTTTATTAATAAACCATTTAAATCATGCTAATGAGCCTTTAATTGCCTACAGAGCCTAATAAGTGCTCAAGCGCACACATAAAGCTTGCCACTGCACACCGGCAGAAGTAATGATGATGAATGTGTCAGGGAAAAACAGTAAGATTAAACTGCAATAACATTTTAATAATCCATTGATAAACTAGTGTTTTCGGCTTAAGAGATGAATTCGGCGACACTGACTCGTCATCTCCACAGTAATGGATGCACCTGCATGCAAGTTTCATACGGATTACATAATCTGAGAATATTTTATTTTTTTTTCAGATTAGAATTGTTTCATTTGAAAGTAGACATTTCACTCTCTATAGATATATTTTTCATGTCTGTAAGGCAAGTATACACAGAGTTTCGCGCTCAAGTTCACAGAGGCCGAGACGGCAGAAAGCGCATCCTGTTTGCCATTATTTTACAAAAGTGCAATGTTGTTATAGTGAGTGCACACAAATAAACATAGAGGCTTTACAGATTTGAAAGATGTATTACTCTTATCTGTATGACCAAAATGACAGAGTATTTTAAGAGCAAGTGACTGCACTGGTGCCTCCATCTGTCATGCTGTGAGCGCATGCGCTACTGTTCAGCTTTCACACTCCACACAGACACTTGAATAGCGCACATTTTTCTAGGTTAACATTAGATTGAGTGGCCATGTAAAGTCGCTACTACTTACATATTTCTGATGATAAGCCATATTTAAGGTCGATGAATGATAGGCGAGCGTTTGGATGTAACGTTACTCTATTACCACAAAGTCCAGCCGATAACGATTTGTCTGTCACGGACTGCATGACTTTTTTTTTCTGCGACTAATAAAATTTTGGTAGACCAAGCCTCTTATCGTTGACTATTATGGGGCAGCCCTAGTTAGATATGCATATATTTGTTATTTATTGTGTTTTCTATCTATCTATCTATCTATCTATCTATCTATCTATCTGTCTATCTGTCTGTCTGTCTGTCTGTCTGTCTATCTATCTATCTATCTATCTAATTAGGTTAAAGACAAGGAAATCAGAGGCACCAAGTTTGTTGTTCCTGGACTTAAAGAGCTTGGACTCTACAGATTTAGAGTGAGAGCTGTAAATTCTGCAGGTGTGGGAGAACCTGGCGAGGTTGCTGAAGTGATTGAAGTCAAGGATAGGACAAGTAAGCATTCATTTTAGATTTCTCTTTTTTTTTCTTAACACATTCATTTATTTTACTTTATATTTAATTTGCCATATATTTTAGTTCCCCCTGAGGTAGACCTGGATGCAACTGTCAAGGAAAAGATTGTTGTTCACGCTGGTGGGGTAATCCGCATCCTGGCCTATGTGTCAGGAAAGCCTGCTCCAGAAATTATTTGGAATAGAGACGATGGTGATTTGCCAAAGGAGGCTGCTATTGAGATCACTTCTATAAGTTCAGCTTTGGTTATCAAAAGTTGCAGGAGACAACACCAAGGCATTTATACATTGACTGCCAAGAATGCAGGTGGAGAGAGGAAGAAAGCAGTCATTGTTGAAGTGCTGGGTAAGTGTTTTTTTTTTTTTTTTTTTTTTGGCTT